TTTACCTCGGACCGGCAGGTTGTTCTCTCTCTCGGGTGGCTTCTGCTGAGTGTAGAATTTGATTCTCTATCTAATGTTGGTATTTTCAAGGGAAAACAAGGGAAGAAAGGGGACTTAATGGGCCGATACCTACCCCAATGGACCCTACCAGCAACGGCTGCATTTTTACCTCGGATCGCAGGTTGTTCTCTCTGTCGGGTGCCTTGTGCTGCGTATAGAATTTGATTCTCTACCGAATGGTGGTATTTTCAAGTGAAATCAAAATGAGTAACCGGAGTTAATCGCCCGATACCTACCCAAACGGACCATCGCAGCAAAGCTGGATCATTATCTCCGTCCCAGAGCTTGTTCTCTCTCTCGCATGGCTTGTGCTGCATGTAGAATTTGATTCTCTATCGAGTGGTGGTATATTCAAGTGAAATCAAAATGAGTAGCCGCAGTTAATCGGCCGATACCTACCGCAATGGGCCCTCCCACCAACAGCTGGATTTTTACCTCGGACCGGGAGGTTGTTCTCTCTCTCTCGGGTGGCTTGGGCTGAGTGTAGAATTTGATTCTCTATCGAATGGTGGTTTTTTCTAGTGAAATCAAAATGAGTAGCCGGAGTTAATCGCCCGATACCTAGCCCAACTGACCCTCGCAGGAAAGCTGGATCATTATCTCCGTCTCAGAGCTTGTTCTCTCTCTTAGGTGACTTCTGATGCATGTAGAATTTGATTCTCTATCGAATGGTGGTATATTCAAATGAAATCAAAATGAGGAGCCGGAGTTAATCGGCCGATACCTAGCGCAATGGACCCTCCCAGCAACAGCGGGATTTCTACCGTGGACCGGGAGGTTGTTCTCTCTCTCGGGTGGCTTGTGCTGAGTCTAGAATTTCATACTCTATCGAATGGTGGTATTTTCAAGGGAAATCAAGGGAAGAAACGGGAGGTAATGGGCCGATACCTACCCCAATGGACCCTCCCACCAACGGCTGCATTTGTACCTCGGACCGGCAGGTTGTTCTCTCTCTCGGGTGGCTTGTGGTGCGTGTAGAATTTGAGTCTCTATCGAATGGTCATATTTTCAAGGGAAATCAAATGAAGAAACGGGAGTTAATGGGCCGGTATCTACCTGAAAGGACTCTCCCCCCAACCGCTGGATCATTATCTCGATCTGGGAGGTTGTGCTCTCTATCGGGCTGCTTGTGCTGAGTGCCAAATTCGATTCTGTATCGAATGGTGGTATATTCAAGTGAAATCAAAATGAGGAGCCGGAGTTAATCGGCCGATACCTACCCCGATGGACCCTGGCACCAACAGCTGGATTTTTACGTCGGGCCGGGAGATTGTGCTTTCTGTCGGGTGGCTTGTGCTGAGTCTAGAGTTCGGTTCTCCATCGAATAATGGTGTTTTCGAGCGAAACTAATGGTAGTGATGGGTGTGAGTGGCTCTATACATGGCGCAGTGGACGCTCCAAGAAGATGATATTTAAATTTAATGTTTTTTTCTATATAACGCAATAAAAAGTGAAAGAAAGTAAACGTGAAAACTGAAAAATATTGGTAGCGGAATGTATGGTTATTTTGAAATTTGTATACGGTAGCATCTAATGATTTTTAATAGTGTACGTGTAATTAGTATATTTTTAATTGTTCGTAAATGCATATAAAATCGATTGCATGCTATGGTTTGGCAATTTGAAAAGAAAGAATTGTCTTGGCTTCAGGTTATTTATATTCATATTGAAGGTTTTTTTCTGAGTGGGTATGCAGGCGTAGTGTGAAAAATGATCGTATTTTGCTTTTTTGAAAATTTTTTTTGTAAGTATTGATATTAATATGGAAGAAATCAAGTGCAGATTTTTAAACACGAAGGAGTTCTGTGTTAAAATGAAAATAGAGTGAAGGATTAATATTAAAAGATTTAAATTTTATGATTTCGTTTTTACTTATTGATATATTATTTTTCTGAACATTTTTTTATAGTTTTTTATAATTATTTATGTGATCGTTTTCGTTTGTTAAATGCTATCTTATTATGTTTTTAAAGTGAAATATTTTAATTTATATTTTTATTATTTGTAACAATATGTGTGTGCTTCTATTTTATGTATGTTTGTAATCTTATTCTTGACTTGAGAACCGAATCTGAATAAAGTGGAACTGAATAAAGAAGATAAACAAAATTGTATGAAGTGCTAATTAGTTAGTACCACGAAGTGAATTGATTGAGGCATAAAGAGAATCTGTAGAAAAATTAGTCAAGTGCATTGATGCACTTTCTCGAACATCGTGCGCATCTGGTACGAAAGTGACGAGAGTGTGAAAGAATTAAAGAATAAGAGTGAATGGCTCCAATGTAAAAGTCAATCACCATCTCACATAATCATTCAAGGAAAACTTTTTTTGTCTCCTGTCCATATAAAAGAGCGGTAATTAGCATTTTGCTGTATTGTTTTTTTGAACCTATTCAATGAAATGATGTCCTTGTTTTACTTACTAGTATATGAATTTCATGTATAAAGTAATCGTCTTTTCTTTTTGAATAGTATTCAAAGAAAACGGTACGCCTGTTAGTTGTATGAGTATGTCGTCTTTCGTTCAAAAAATTCTGATGAACTATAAAACTGTGGTCTAAACGTAATTTTTTCTCTAATACTCATAGAATAAAAACTATGATTATACTCGATGATAACATATTCGATAGCAATAGGTGATTTGTTGAACTCAAATGCCAAGTGAATCAAGATGAAACATATTCGAATCCTGACGTAAAATAGTTTACGTTATAAAATCAATGATTTTTTTTTGTACTTAAACTAAAGAACGTGTGCTATACAGTGGTGTACCTATCAATGAAGAGTGTTGGTAAAAATAAGTATAATATGTTTTTTTGTGGTGAAAGAAAAAACTACTATAATGACTGCACTTTTGTTCTGATGCTCAACTCCATACAAGAAAACAGATAATTAACCATTTCCCAAATATCATAGATATAGTTAGTAGAAAATAATCCTCTGAAACTGATCTTGTTACTCATCAAATTGAATTCTTTACGTTTATTGTATACGATTAATTATTTCAATAATGAACAAGAAAATATAGAAAAACACAAACTTATCGCCTCTAAAAGCAATTTTTTTTCTCTTCACTATCAAGTAAATTGTCCAAGTTTTGTTGAAGAATATTATCAACTTCTGTACTTAGAAATATTGTACGAATCTTTCGTCGATTTTCATGCCATGACGTAAAGAGCCACTTTCGTGTTTGAAGAATATTTTTTTTTGAAATTTCAGTTAATTCTGCTAGTCGATCCGATATACTGTCCGATTTTGTATAGCCACTAGTTGTATTATCCAGTTCGCGATAGTCAAGTCCAAGCTGTTTGAGAGCAACCAAATATCCCTCTACATGACCTATTTCCGACCAAATATCTTTCTTTTTCAGAAAATTTAGTACCATAGTTTGTGTATTCAAAAATATTATTTCAGAATATATAATAAATGCTCTATAACTGATCAATCTCATCGCTATTTTATTTCATCCGTTATACAATGCCTCTTTCTCTCTTCGAAATTATTAGAATGTATTACCAATCACATTTCTTGGCTACTTCAAACAATGAAACGGTTGAATGATCCAGGAAAAAATCAATCAAGAATAAAAAATAGAAACATTGACATGAACGAACGACAGCAATTATAACTCAGAAAGTGATCAGCAGAGTTGTAGAAATTTCACGAAATATGCATTTAAAAAAAAGATAATTCAATCTATTTTAGGTGAGCTGGCGTAAGCATAAATCTAAACTGGTTAATGAGAAAAGAGAAAATCATCAAGATTTCTGTTTTGCTATAGACATATCAGCACCAGTATTGACTGAATATAGCTATACACTTCATTGTAAAAAGAGAAAGAATGCACTAAATAAGGAACTTAAAAGAAAAGAAAACTATCAACAGTACAAATATAGTTGTATTTCAAACAATAATCATCATTTGCTAAAACTATATTAAAATATGAAAGAAGGTTTATTTTTGTATGTGGAAGTGGAAGAAAATCAGATATAAATATTGTAATTTAATGAGTAATATAGTTATAACATTTCTACTTATTTTAAAATTCTTTTGTCAAACAATTTCATGAATTTCATTTTTTCATTTCTAGATTAAAAAAAACAGAAAGTTGAAATGAAACAAAGAATTGGCTTTTTCAAAAAGATGTATAAGTAATTTGAGTAAATAATCTTCCATTCTTCGACGTGTTTTTTCTTTACTCATTCGCTTTAATAAAATATAATTTATCTTGCATATTATTGAATTCGTTTATCTCTCGATTTGATTTTGTATAGAATAGTATAAATTATCTATTTGTCAACCATGATCTCATTTGAATGAATCCGATACCCGATCCGATTGTCAGACTGAATCTTCTTGGGTAGGTATGGTGAACTATGGATCAATATTGATTGTTTTACTGACTTACCAAAAAATTAATTAATTAAAAACAGGGAGAGGGCGTGTAGTTATTTTTCAGAATCTTTGTTCGTATTCAATCATTACTCTATACTTATTTAACTGTCATTTTATAATTGTTCCATTCGTTTACTTGTAGGCTAGATGATAGGCTTTTGTTTGAACTTTACGATGATGAGATTATCATTCATGTCTTGCTTGTTAGCTATTGCGGCTAAAGATAAAATGTCTTTTATTGTAATTGAACATAAAAAACTATATGTGATTCAATTTTGTAATACAATTAACTTCCATCACAAAAAGAAAATATTTTCTTGATATCATTCATTTCTTCAAAATTTCATATCGTGTTTCATCGTTTCTCACACGCCAAAATGATTCTGTTTCTGATTCTTGCTGTTTCTGTTCTAGTAAGCTACTTAATTGTATCTCAACTTGAATAAAGTGATATATTTTAGGCCGCTCAGGGTAAAAAATATGAAGCACTTACTGAATTTTTACAAACATTGCAAAAATCGACAGTACTCACTCCATCGTCATCAATGTCGATTGTAAATAATAATAATAATACACTTGATGCCATGAATCAATATGAAACAACATCATGGTCTAATTTTAAAAATATTTTAATAGTAGTATCGGAAATTGTTATAGTCTTCCTACTAGTCTTATTAAAAATGTTGCATAAACTTGCTAATAATGGATGGAACTTCAAAGTAAAGCAATATGATTTCTTTTGATTCAATCTTTCTTAATTTAATCCTTTTAGTCTTCATGGTTCAAAATTAAGTCTGTTGATAAGTATCGTCGCCGATTTCGTCAACGAGAAAGTAAGAATCACCTTTTTAAAAGCAATCATTCTTTTTTTCCCTTTAGTTCAACAACGTGCTATGTTAAACGTTATCGAATGTGTAAATGAGCGATCTCTAGCTATTAGCTCAAGTATTTACTCAAATGTTGAGTAAGTTAAAGTTGCATTACTCCGACACCATTTTCATCATGTTTTTATTTCCATTTAGTTCATCTCAACCAATATATACCATTTCCACTGTTTGATCTTTTATATTTGTTATTTAATTTATTATTGTCTTTTGTTGCTCTTTTTTCTTCTTGTACCAATCTCAATATAGTGTTTTTTTTTCACAATTAAATATATTAACTTATCGCAATAAATGTGAATACAAACTAAATAAGGAATCTTTTTTCAAATGAAATGAATCATTGAGTAGCTGCCTATTTCGACTTATATTTTAAATGGAACGTTTTTTAAAAATCGTCAGCTAAACTAACCAGATAGGGAAAGATACAGATTTACCTCAATAGATATTAATAGATATCAATGAGTACAGTTCATATAACTAGATATACACTGTCCCGTATAAGTTAGGAATAGATTTAGTTTTAGTTATGTATATATAATTTATATAAATAGATAACACTGTCCTGTAGGTTTTAGGAATAGATTTAGTTTTACATTCACTTTCGAATAAATGACAAACAAATCTTGCAACCCTGCAGAGAGAGAAAGAGACACTCACCCACCTTGCAGAGAGAGAGAGAGAAAGAGACACCCACTCCCCTAGGGAGAGAGAAAGAGACAACCAGTCCCCTAGGGAGAGAGAAAGAGACAATAATAAATTAAATAACAAATATAAAAGATCAAACA